TATTTGTGACTTTTCATTCTTATTCTTTGTTAGTTTTGCTGGTGGTTTGTTGATTTTATTGACCTTTTCAAAGAAGCAACAGTTTGTTATGTTGATTGTTTCAACTGTTTTTCAGTTTTCTCTTTTTTTCTTTCTGCTCTAATTTTTATAATTTCAGTTTTTTTAGAGTGTTTCAGGTTTTCTTGCTGTTCTTTTTCAATTGGTTGGAGATGTTGGATTAGGGAGTCAATGGTCATTTTTTCATGTCTTTTGATATGTCTGCTTATTGCTATAAACTGACCTCTGTTTACTGCTTTGGCTGTTTCTCAGAGGTTTTGTTAAGTGGTGTTTTCATTGTCATTTGTTTCAAGAACCTTTTCATTTCATTTTTTTCTTTCTTCTAGTACACACTCATGTTCAAGCAAGGTGTTGTTCAGCTTCCAAATGTATAATTTTTTTTCTTTTTATATTAATTTCTAATTTTGTAGCATTGTGGTCTGAGAAAATGCTTTGTATTATTCGTAGGTTTTTTTAAATTTATTGATGCTTGCCTTGTGGTCTAAAATGTCATCTATTCTGGAGAATGTTCCATGCACATTAGAGAAGAAGGTATATTGTGGTGGTTTTTTTGTGCATTACCCTGTAAGTATCTAGGAAGTCAAGTTGGTTTATTGTGTGGTTTAATTCTTAAGCATCTTTGTTGAGTTTCTTTCTGGTAGTTCTATCTTTTCTTGAGAAGGTTGTATTGAAGTCTCCAACTACCATAGTAGTGTCAGTTTTGTTAATGTTTGTTTTACGTATTTTGCAGGTCTTTCATTTGGTGCATAGGTATTTATTATTGTTATGTTCTTTTGTTCTAGTGACCCTTTTTTTTTGGTGAGAAAAATTTATATTTAGAATTAGCCCTCTGGACTCAGTTTAGATGATCCCAATTTTGTTGGCAACATCCAAAGCATGATAGTCAGGAGCAAGTCAAACATAGGCCTTCTTCTCTCCATCAGGCCTAATTAAAGTGTTGACCTTAGCCACATCAATGTCATAGAGCTTCTTTACAGCTTGTTTAATTGGGTGCTTATTGGCCTTGACATCCACAATGAACACAAGTTCATAACATAACAAGTTGTTATCTTCTATCTTCTTCATAGCTAACTCAGTGGTCAGGGGAAATTTGATGATGGCATAGTGGCCAAGCTTGTTTCTCCTCGGGGCGCTCTTCAGGGGGTATTTGGGCTGCTGTCGGAGTCTCAGCGTCTTAGGCTGCCGGAACGTGGGTGACGTGCGGATCTTCTTTTTTTTTTGGCTGTGGACGCCCTTCAGGACTGCCTTCTTGGCCTTTAATGCCTTTGCTTTGGCTTCAGTTTTGGGAGGGTCAGGGGCTTCCTTCTTTGCTTTTGGCGCCATCTTCGTAGAAAGGCTCTATTGACCCTTTTTAATTATGTAGTGACCTTCTTTGTTGTGATAGCTTTTGCATTGAAATTTAGCTTATTGGAGATTAATATCGCTAATCCTGCTTTTTTCTTGTTGCCCTTTGCTTGGTTTATTTTTTCCCATCCTTTTTATTTTTAGTCCTTCTTTATCTACATTTTTCAGGTGTGTCTCTTGTAGACAGCATATTGAGGGATTGTGGGGTTTTGTCCAGTCTGCTACCCTTCTTCTCTTCAGTGGTGCATTCAAAACATTCACATTCAGTGTGATTATTGAAAGGCAGGGTTTTATTGCTATCATTTTGTTAAGTTCTTCTTGGTGCTGTTGCTAGTTACTTTGGTCCATGCTGCTTTTTGTGGCACCTCTAAAAGGACATCTAGGCTTCAAAAAGGGACTCAGCACAGCAGTCATGATGAGGATAGCACAGAAGTCTTTAATTATATTGTACATAAAGTCACTCTGGGTCAGAATTACTTGATGGCACCAATTTGTACAAATGTGCTGAAAGATAAACTGCCTGGATTGGAAGGCACTCAAATGATATTTATGTCAGTTTTCTCAGTTTACTTAGGGTCATTAAATGGGAAAGATTTTTTAAATTATATTATTAAATATAATTAAATATTATATATATATATAAAATATAGTTCAATTATATGTCAAATAAAGGCCACAGAAATATTTAAAAGATGATGTGTATGTCACCAAATATAGAAATCAAAGGATTTTTCTTCACAAAAAAGGAGAATTAGAACAAAAACATTTAAAAATAGTGTAAATATATTATTTGAAAACTATGACCTATAACTTAAATCTGGCCCACTGCTTATCTGCTGTTTTGATGCTACAATGATAAAATGAATAGCTATGAAAAAAAGATGTTATGGCTTGTAAAACGTAAATATTTATTCTCTGGTCCTTTACAGATAAAATTTGTAACCCTTGATCTATAGCAACAAATGCTTCTTTCATTCAAATTATTCATTAGCTAATAAGACTAGAGAAAATAAAGAGTAGTACAAAAATGTTCACGAAAAGACATTCACGAAAATGTGACTAGAATAACTAGAGAGTGCTCATTCCCAATACCCTTTCTGTTCAAACAGGTAAGTGCTGAGAAAGCTTCACAGGAAATGTGTAATTTCTGTCACATCTTGAGGTATAATTATGGACATCTGAAGCAATGGAAAGGAAAGGCATTCCATACAGAAAAAGCAGTAAGTGAAGAAGGCATGAGAGAGAAAGAAGGAAGAAACTTCAAATCGTTCCCCAGATTCCTTCTTTTGAAAGCATTTATCCCTTTCGGAAATGGCCTACCTTGCTCATTAATACACCTGCTCCTTCTCTGAGAAGATGAAGTCAGTATTTGTTAAATGAATGCATCAACAGATGACTAAATCAATGTTTGCGTGTGGTCCACTAAGCATGAAAGACAGTAAGAAGACTCAAAGTCAAATGGCATCACTGTCTACACACAATGACCTAGGCTTAGTGACTTAGGTACCCTCACCACACCTAATAAAACTCTCTGAATGAGGCTTGTACTACTTTTTCCAATCTAAAGACCATTTTCTTTAATAAAGAAGATAAATGTGCAGAGGAGTTGAATAGTCTGCTTTTCCCCAGATAGTTGTATACATTATAAAGTTTTCTTTTGACGCGTCAAAGTATTTCTTCTTCTAGCTACAGATATAGCCATAAGGTACTCCGCTGCAATTTCATCTGGAGATCTTGCAGCAGCTTTGTCAAAAGTCATCCAACCTGACCCTGCTGCTTACTCAGCTGTCCAGATCCATGTGGTCAATTGCTTTAAAATTGGCCTGTGGCTGACAAGACGTCCAGTTAACTTAAGTCAGCTCCACACCCACTAACTCCTGTTGGAAAAATATTTCACTCAATGGGGAAAACCCAGATAACAATTTGTGAATGAACATTCACCAATTTTTTTTTCTTTAATCTAAAAACAATTAGCTTCTGCACAAATCCTGTTGTTGACTGAAAAGGGATTTGGAAGGGGGAAAAAAATCACCAGATATAATTTTCACTTTGCACTTATTACCTTAATAAACTCAATGTTTTGTAAAAGGGGGAAAAAAGGGCATCTGTCAGTGTTTGCTGCAACGTTGGTCTTCTTTTCACAAACTCCCTTAGGTTTCTGTTTCTGGGAATATCTTGATCTCTCCTTCATATTTGATGGATAATTTTGCTGGGTACAGTATCCTTGGTTGACAGCTGTTTTCTCTTGAGTGTTTGATATACGTCCTTCCACTCTCTTCTTGCTCGCATGCTTTCTGCTGAGAAATCAGCACTTTCTTGAATATATATTCTCTCATTCTTCATTATGTTTGGGAAGTTTTCCTCTAGTAAATCTTCCACAACTTCTTCTGTGCCTTTACTTGCTTCTTCCAGTTCTGAGATTTCAATGATCGCATGTTATTTCTCTTGATGGTGTTGCACATTATTCTTAGGGGTTTTTTTCTTTTTCCTTTCTTTTTAATTCTGCTTTTTGTTCTAGCAGATTCTATCTTCTATTTCTTCTATTTCACTGGTTCTGTGTTCCATTTCTTCAACTCTGCTCATGTGTCCCTCCTTCATGTTGACAGAATCTGAAACACTGGACCTAATGTTTTGGATGGTGCTTTCTTGTTTTTCCAGTGCCACTAAAGCCTCCTTTGTTTTATCTGTATTGTTTTGGATTGTGGGGTTTTTTTTAAGCTCCTATGGTTTTTGCTTGCAGTGTCCTGTAATTCTTCAAGTTTATCTTTCATGCATGGAAAATATTCAATCATTGTTCTTTTAAATTCTGTGTCAGAAAGTTCCATCAGCTCAGTCCTCAAAATTATAACTGCACAATAACATAATAAAAAACCAAAATAATTACCACATAGTTGCAGTTAACTACTAAGTCAAAGACTATTTATTCAAGAGAGGTCAGTCACAACAGATGTGAGCTGGCTGACTACCAACTCATTCACTCATACAGAAGTCAACAATAAAAAAAGCAACTAGTAGACCCACAAGGACACGGCAAGGGTTAGGACAGTACAGTGGAGATAGATGCAATGGTGTCATTCTAATTAGCTCAGAGGAGAGAAAGAGTCATAGGGAGTTATTCGGGAATTATGAAAAGTTATTTCTGTAAACAAAGTCACACACAGGGAGCTAAAATTTCTTTGGAAATTTACCATGACCTCTTTCTGAGTTATGTTGTTGTCAAGTATTTAAGTAATACTAACAGACAACTTCAGTAAAAATAATACTGTAAAGCCAGAGATCTAAAAGCTATCGGAGGTGAAAATGAAAGGAAATGGTGTTTTAGTGGCAAGAAGCTGAGCTACAATCCAGAAGGCATGCAGTTTGAGGCCACCAGTGGCTCCGTAGAAGGATGGGCAATCTCTTTTCATGTGATTAACTTTCTCTGAATATGTGCCAGCAGGTCAGCAATGGGTTGGATTCAACTTGACAATACACAACAACAAAAAATAATAAAATAGTTCAAGAAAGCTAACATCATAAAAAATCTGATAGTGTCATCCATCAGATGAAGGATGAATCAAACCAAAAAATATGGTAAAGCAGTTTCTCCAATGCCATACCTTATCAATGGCCTTTCCAACCCGAGAAACACTGCTGTGAATGTCTTTGTGGTCCGAGGCCAATTTCTGAACAGTATCCTTGATTCTTTTACAGCACTGTGTCAAGACAAGAGAAAGCGTTCCTGATAATTCAGTATCTTGCCCTGTTAAAAAACAAAAGAGCAGTTACTCACAAAAGCAAACCATGGATGAGACATTTTAAATTGGACCCTCTAAGATGTGAAAGATTAGGGAGCTCTGGTGGCTTAGTGGCAAGAAGCTGAACTGCAATCCCAGAGGTATGAAGTTCGAATCCACCAGATGCTCTGCTAGAGAAGTAGGGGCAATCTCCTTCTGTACCAGTCAGATCCGATTTGACTGTGCACACACACAAAAATAATAAATTTAAAAAAAAACAAGATGTGAAAGTTTAAAAAAAATCAGCATCTGCTTTGAGCACACAGTTACAATTACTAATGACTGTTTTTCAAGTGAGTACTAGAAAATATATTTTGGGTGTTTTTGTTTTTTTTTTTTCTTTCTTTCTTTCTTTCTTTCTTTCTTTCTAGAAATGTTACTATGAAGTGCTTTTAGTGATTACTAAAACCATCACAGGTGGTTAATAATACTGCCAAGCACTTCTCACAAAGTTTCCAGTGGACAGACCTACTTATTCAACCAGTTAAAGTAAGCTGTTCAAGCCATTCCCAAAGCATTTCTGGCTGTTACTAAACTTCTAAAAGATTTAGTTTAAATGCTTGTTGTTGCTGACTATGACTCACAGGGACTCTATGAACAACAATGTTGAACCTTGCCCTATTCTCTGTCTTTGATACATCTGACCCCATTGCCACAGACATCCAGACATCTTGTCAATTCATCTCAACCATTCATCTCATTCTTTCTCTCCTGCACCCTTCCAAGCATTACGTCCTCCTCCAAGGGCTGGCTCCTCCTGACAAAAGGCCCCAAATATGTGAGTTTCAAAATTCTTGCCTCCAAGAAGCAATATGGTTACATCCTCTCCAGGACAAACCCATTTGTACTCTTGTCAGTCAATGGTATGTTCAATACTCTTTCAAAAGCATCCACTCTTCTTCTATCATCTTTATTCATTGTTTAGCTCTCAGATATATATTGGACAACTGAGAAGACCAACTTCAATCAGGCACACCTTAGTCTCTAAGCATGGCTCTCTAGTACTTTGTTGCAATCCTTAATAGCACATTTTCCCAATGCCACTTGTCCTTTCCCTGACTGCTGGTGCCAAGGGGGACTGACTGTGGATCTTAGCAAGATGAAATTGTTAACAACCTCGATCTCTCCTCCACCTATCATGATGCTTAATACTAGCCTAGTATAATGAGATGCAATTCATATTGAAGTCTATGACTTCTGCAGCAGTTTATGTGACCAAGACTGTGTCATCTGCATAACTCGGGCTGCTAGTAAGTCTTCTTTGAATCTTTTTTAACATTTCTTTTTATTATTTTATATTGTTTGCATAAAAAATGATAAGCTTTGTTTATTATTTTCCCTCATTCACATTGTTTCATACAATCATTCCCCTACATTGTGTTTAAAAAAAAAATCACCATTTAACTATACCCACCTTATCCCATCTTTTCAGGTCCCCAATGGATCTTTTCCAATTCCTTCACTTCCTCCCTCCACCTATCAAATTGTGTGACCTCATGACAGTCCCCACCCATCATCACCCCTTCTACTCTTGGACCATCATACACAATTTTACTAGTTATCCTTCTATATTTATATAATAATATTCTTATGCTGTATTTGTCCTTACCAGACTTAGTTCACTCTGCATAATGCTCTCTAGTCTCCCCAATATTAGGTATTTTTCAAAATTGTTTCTCCTGAGTACTGTGTAGTATTTCATTGTGTGAATGTACTAGAATTTCTCAATTTACTTGTTTGTTGGTTAGACATATGGGCTGTTACCATGTTCTTTCAATTGTGAATAAAGCTATAAACATTGGTGTACAAATCTCTATCTCTATTTGTGTCTCAGTTCTAATTTCTTTGAGGTATATCCCTAGTGGTGTAATAGCTTGGTCATATTGAATTTCTATGTTCAGCTTTTTGAGGAAACTCCAAACTACTTTTCAGAGGTGTTGTAGCATTTACAATCCTAACAACAGTGTGAGAGTTGCAGTCTCTCCATATCCTCTCCAACATTTATTCCTGTCTTGTTAAACTTTGTCACTACTACTGGATTGAGATGGTATTTTATTCTGTTTTTTACTAGCATCTCTCTTTTGTACAGTGATTTTGAGTATTTCTTCATATGTCTGTTGGTCTTCCCCTATGCATGGAAATGCATTTCCAAGTTTTTTTACCCATTTTTTAACTAGGTTATCAGTCTTTTTCTTGTGGAGGCCCTGTAGTATTCTGTACACTTTTGTTATGACACCTTTGTCTGAGAAGGCATTGCCAAATGTTTTTTCCCAGTCAGTAAGTTTACTTTTCACCCTATTGGAAAAGTTTATTTGTTTTTTATGCACACAAAGATTTAATCCTTAGAAGGTCCCACTCATCTATTTTCTCCTCTCCTGGTTGTACATTTCTGGCTGTATTTGCAAGCCTATCTATACCATTATGATCTTTATGGTTTTGGACTTTATCCTCAGGTCTCTGATCCAGTTTGAGTTGATTTTTATGTACGGGATAAGATATGGATCCTCTTTTAGCTTCTGTAGGTTTCTGTCCAGTTTTGCCAGCACCATTTGTTGAAGAGGTGGTTTGGTTTCCTTTGACGAATATCAGATGACCACATATCAGATGACTACACTTATTTCCTTGTTGAGTATCAGCTGAGCACAGACAGGTTAATTTCTAGGTTCTCAATTCTGTTCCACTGGGCTATGTATCTAAAACAGGACCACGCTGTTTTGGTTATTACAGCTGGATCATAGATTTTGTATGCTTCCTACTTCTTCCCCACCCCCACCCCCCACCCCAGAAGTGCTTTGCTTATTCAGGATCTCTTTCCTCTCCAAAATAACTTGCCAAATGTCTTTTCTATCTTTTTGAAAAATTAATTTGGTGTAAGTATTGAGATTGTGTTAAACACTGCTTTTGGCAGGATTTTCATTATATTGAGTCTTCCTATCCATGAACTGAGGATATTTTTCCATTTACTTAAGGCTCTTGTTTCTCCCAGTAATGTTCTGTAGATTTCTTCGCACAGGTTTTTTGCTTCTCTAGTTAGATTTATTCTTAAGTATCTCCATTTGTGGTTGGCTATTGTAAATGGTACTGCTGTCTTAGTTTCCTTATCTGTGTTTTGTTACTGTACAGGAATCTCACATACTTCTTCTTAAAGGCTAGCATCATGAATGATCTGTTCTGCATATAAACTAAAACAGTATGGAGAAAGGATATATCCCTGATGCACTCTTTTCTTCATTTTGAACCACATTCCCTTGCTTTGTTCAAACAACAGCTTTTTGCCCTAAGTTTCACATAAGCACAATCAAGTGTTTTAGGATCCTCATTTTTCTCAGTGTTAGTGATAATTTGTGATCCACACAGTCAAATGCCTTTGCATAGTGGATAAATACAAATAGTCATCCTTCTGGTATTCTCTGCTTTCGGTCAAGATCCATCTGATGTCAGCAATGACACTCCAAGTGCCATAGCTCTTCTAAACCTAGCTTGATTTCTGGCAGTGCTCACTGTTTCTGGATAATCTTCCGCAAGTTTTTGCTTGCGTATTAACGATACTGTTAGATAGTTTCCACATTCTGTGGATCCCTTTTTCAGAATGAGAATAAATATGTGTCTTTTCCAGTCAGATGGCCAGGTAGCTGTATTCCAGATTTCTTCATATATCCTGGTGAGTACATCCAGGGCTTTATCTGTTTTTTCAAATATGTCAATTGGTATTTCATCAATTCCTGGGGCCTTACTTATTGACAACTCCTTCAGAGCAGTTTGAATACCTTCCTTTATTACCACTGGTTCTTGATCATTTATTAATTCTTCAAACAGTTTTGTGCCAACCAATTCTTTTCAGTACTTTGTGTCTTCCTTCCATCTTCTTTAATATTCCTAGATCATTTCAGATTTTGTCCATAGTATCTGTAAGTATTTTTAACTCAAGGATTGAATTTGTTCTTCAGTTCTTTCAGCTTGAGAAATGAAAAGCAATCTCTTCTGATTTTCTGACTCCAGCTGCACATTTCTTTATAATACTGTACTTTGTCTTCATGCACTGCCCTTTGAAATCTTCAATTCAACTCTTTGACTTCCTCATTTCTTACCTTTGTTTTGCTGCTCAGTATTTTAGTACAATACTCAGAGCCTCTTCTGACATTCATTTCTTCCTCCTCTGTAAAGAACTTTCTGCTTTCTTCATGGATGATATCACCCCACAGCTCATCTGGTCGTCCGTCATTAGTGTTAAAAGCCTCAAACCTATTCTTGAGATGGCTAAATTCAGTTGGGATAGACTCAAGGTCATATTTTGGTTCTTTGGACTTTTTCCATTTCTTTTAGTTTCAATCTGAACTTGTGCACATGAGTAGTTGATGGTCTGTTCCACGTTTGTTTCACAGCCTGGTTTTCACAGCTGATACTGAACTTCTCCAACGGTTCTTTCCACAGATATAATCAATATGATTCCTAATTAGTGTATCAGGTGAAGCCCACATGTATAGTTGCTGTCTGTGGTTTTTAATAAAAGGTATTTACAATGAATAACTCATTGATTGTATAAAATACTACCACTATCTCCAGCCTCAATTCTGTTAGCAAGCTCATATTTCCTGATTACTGATCATTCTTCCTTATTCCCAACTTTTGTATTCCAGGCACCCATTATTATTAATGAATCTTGGTTACATGTTCCATCTATTTCAGGCTGCAAAAGTCGGTAGAAATCTCATTTCCTCCTCGTTGGCTTTAGTTGTTGGTGTGTATATTTGAATGGCAGTGGTATTAACTGGTCTTCCTTGTATGTTTGGATAGTATCCCACAGAACAACTTCAGGATGGATCTAGAAATGGTCTTTTTGATTATGAATGCAACTCTATTTTTTCCTTACTTTTTGTTTTATAGTCCATTAAAAAAAAAGAAAAAGCAGCAGCAGCAAAGCCCCATCTTCCCTTGATCTTCTCAGGATCTGCAGAGAGATAAGCCA